TCAGCTCCAATACCTGTGGTGAAGTTGCATTATCCTGTCCTTTAATTGTACTCCCAGACTGCTTTTAGAACATAAAAGCCTGTACTTAGCAGTGTGTGTGTGTGTGTGTGTGTGTGTGTGTGTGTGTGTGTGTGTGTGTGTGTGTCTAACAGCAACTAATGAAAAAAGAGGCCATGAATTTGGGAAACAAAACAAAGAGGGGTAGATGGGGAGGATTTGAAGGGAGGGCAGGGAAGGGGAAATGATGTGGTAATATAATTTCAAAAAACAAAAGACATAATTGAAAAAACTAACCTAGCCTCATTCTATCCATGGTCCTTGGTCCTGGACACAAACCCACATACAGCTTGAATCTATCCCTGGCCCTCTGCATTAAGCTTTCTCTCTCATCAATTCTCTTCAGCTAGTGGCATCCCTGCTTTTCCCTTCAGAGGCCCTGGTTTTCACTTGGCATTTTCCCAAATGTTTATATACTAGCTGTTCCTCCCAGCTTCAGGATAACTATGTGACCCAGCCTGAGCAATGAGATACAAGCAGAAGTCTATGAAATTTATGGGAGAAATTTTGTTTTCTTGAAGCGGGCTTTATCTTTTGTGTTAATATAAAAGCAGAGGTGGTGGATGTCTATGCATGAATGCTCCTTCAAATATAAGAGAAAGGATTAAGATTCACAGAGACCTTCATAGCAACACCATGGAGTTATGTAATGAACACCATCAACTGCTTTCTATATTTATATGAGAAAAATAAACAACATACTCCAGATCCCATGGGAAAGGAGGAGCTGTGTACCTTGGTTTGGTGCATCCTTTTGGGTCTCCTCCTCAGCTCTCCAGTATAGCACCTCACTGGAGAACTTCTTACCTATGTGGTCCTTTCCCTCCAGATACAACTGATATTCTAGGCAGAGCATCTCACAGCTTCTAGTGACCTCTCTATCAAGAACAGATAGCATCTTTAAGGCCTAGATTCCTTGCCTTGGGTAACTGATGGAATTTTCCAGTTTGTGCTCTCGTGTTCTCTCTCTCTCTCTCTCTCTCTCTCTCTCTCTCTCTCTCTCTATATATATATATATATATATATATATATATATAAATTATATATATAAATTATATTTATATAATAATTATAATTTATATATATAATTATAATAAATAAATTATATATAAATTATATATAATTTATATATAATAATTATATTATATAATATATAAATTATATTTTTATATAATATATATATAATTTTATATATATATAAATTTTTTTGTAGGGGACAGGGTTTCTCTGTGTGGCTTTGGAGGCTGTCCTGGAACTCACTCTGTAGACCAGGCTGGCCTTGAACTCACAGAGATCCACCTGCCTCTGCCTCCCCAGTGCTGGGATTAAAGGTGTGTGCCATCACTTCCTGGCTGTGTTTGCTCTCTCAATTCTAAGTTTCTTTCATTTCCATTCTCTGTGTGTGTGGGGGGTTGTGGGGCGGGCACTGCAACCCAGCAGACTTTTATGAAGGATGTTTGGTACTTACACCCAACAGTCTAGTGATGTCACACATCAATGAGGCACTCAGAAACCTTCAGTGACTTCCTATTGCCAAGCTTGCAAAGACATTCTACAGGTCCCATAATGTAGCTTTAATTTAAAAAAAGTCAGTCTGATACCTTTCAATATTTAATATGCTCTTAGCAAATGAGATGTAGCTGTTCTTTAAAGGAATTCATTTATTTTCCATGTATATAATATTTATAGTATTTCACTCCCTGGAAGGTGTAATATTTTGCTTTTTGTGTATTTTCAAAAGAGAGATCACTTACCAAGCCAGAGCTCAAATTACCTCAACTAAAGTGTCCAGTGTTTGTTTGAGGCAGTTTCTGATGTATCCTTGGCTGATCTTGACCTTGCTGTATAGCCAAGACTGCCCAGTGACACTTGAACATGGAAGGATTTTTACTCCCCCAGCTTCTCTTTGGGTAACCATTTAAGGGGTACAATGTACAACCACAGTATTCTTAGTGGGGCCCTGAGAGCATGTGCTTCTTGGAGGCGGCAGTGAAAGGACAGTTTGTACAAAACCCAGCAAAGACATATCAAGTCCTTACTATTCTATGACAGATCAAGTCCTCCTTCTTATGTTCTATGGGGAAAAGCGCACTCTTTATAGCCATCAAGCAAGCAAGTCAATTAAACAACCCAGGTTCACCTCAATCTCTGAATGGGCAGTGAGGGAAGTTATCCTCTGACTGTAAAATCTGAGATGAGATCTCAGTCCATGATAAGAGCTGAGGACAAGAAAGTCAGAGAAGATAGGGCAACCAGAAATGCTATTGAGCTGTGCTTGTAGGCGGTGTGGAGGTCTGGGAGCATGTAGAAAGTTGTGACTAGAAGGTGGTGGGCAGAGAAGAACTGTGTGAAACGAGGTGGCAAAGGCCTACCTTGAAGGTCCAAAGGAGCCAACACAGCAGAGAGTACTTCCCTTAAGGGCCTTATGCCAAGAGTAACATGACCTAATTTACAAAGGAAAACGATCTCTCTGGCTGCTTGGCAGAAAATGCATCAGGGTCAAGAGTGGAGACAAGATGAATTGGAAGACTACGTGAGATAACAGTAGCTTGAATTTGGTGGGAGGCAAGGTGGGGAGAAAGAAGGGGATCCATTCATGGTCTCCACCACATTAAGCCAAGTTCTGTGAACATGGCAATGCTCGGTGCATGTTCCTTGATGGATGTTCAAGACTTCAAAACCAGTTTTGCACTCTAAGTTTCTAGACTTTTTTTTCCCCCTCCTACTTTGGTTTACATGTTGCGGCTTACTATACTGCTTTGCTATTCGGAGAAACAGAGGGGGATTTCATATTTAGGAAAAACACTGTTGATACTGTAATGTAAAGCTCAATAAAGAATACAAGCGATAGTGGAGGGTCAGAGCGGAAATGATGCAAAGAAACAAATCATTTGAAACAAATGGAACAACATAGGGGTCTAAATCTGTGGCAAAACAAAAGAGGCAAACACAGACTCTATGTTATTTAAACAAAACAAAACAATAGTCATCACAAGTTTGAGTCCCGCGCAGTGGGTAACTAAGTAAGAAAGCAAGTGGCTCTCCAATAAACATTAGCTGGAACACTGTGTCTATGTAGAAGACATGGCAATCAATTTCCTTCACAACTCAAGACTTCTCAGTTTTGACTTACTTTTCTCTCAAAGTATGGGCTCTTCCTTTGCTCCCTTTTATATGATAAATTTCCGGATTAATAAGCTAACCAGATATGACTACAAAGGAATGCTTACACAATTCTAGAACTCCATAAATGACCTGTTGATCTTCAGGTAGGACTCCTGAAGCACGGGGTCCCATTGTGTTTGCATGTGTCTTCCAGGACACTTAGCATGCCGTGAGAAAACAAGACCAGTTCTTGCCACTTTCCACCGAAAACGTTAAATGGCCCCTGAATTGTGTGAAACTTGGCCCCAGTCAGTGTGAAAACTGGCTGAAATCTGTATGAAAGGCTGTCTGGGTTTGTCAAAGTAGTCCGTGAACTTTGGCCAAACCCTCTCGGCTCCTGGTCCAAGACTTAGTTTGTAATGCAACGTGAAACGACGTGGATTTCAGGTGGTGTCAGGTTTCACCTTGGAAATTTGGCCTAGCTTTCTAATCAATCATCACTTTTAGTAACGATGAAAGCCAACACACCTTTCTGGGAAAGAAGACAGCATTGACTGATGACAGCTAGGCTGTGAACCGCCCCCGCACTTCCTCTGCCAAAGGAACACTTCTCAGAATGGGGACTTTCCCTCTTACATGGAGAGGCTAAGCTGAGGGATTCTGATACTGGGTGTAGAAAGACATGATACTCAATGCAGGGAGACCAGCCATGTGAAATATCACCACCCACAGATCAAGGGGCTCCCATCTCATCATCTGAGGCTATGGGGTCCATTCCATTCCCACCCATGACAGTAGATATCATGCTGCTCAATCTCCCGGACCACTGATGATGAGCACTTAGCTTGGAGGCCGTCATTAACTAGTATAACTGTCATGAGGACCCTGCCTGCTCCGAGGTATCATCGTTGAAGGAAAGCGAATCCAGGCACCTTCATCCAGCACTAAGGAGCATGAGGTAAACTTTCCCATCTGCATCAACTATGTTTTTTGAAAAAAAAAAAAAAAAACCTTCTGCAGTATTCATAAATTCAATAATTACAGTATAGTTTACGGATAGACCTCCATAGTTTCTGCTTTCATCCTGAATATTTTAAATGTGTGTTTCCACTGTAAAAAAAAAAAATCCTCTCTTCAACCAAATCCTCGCTTTTGTGCGTAGTGACATGAGAAAATTGAGAGGTATGTCTGAACAGAGCCACTACATCATTGGAACAGTATGTCTGAACATTTGAGTAATGAGGCACAGATGTGAACCCAAGGACTTGGCACTACCAAGGCAACAACAAAGCATTTGCCATGGGTTATGATGGTCAAAGGGGCCACATTGGGACAGAGAAAAAAACGGCCCTCCACCCACAGTGTAAATCGTGTTACACCTTTTATCTGCCTTACAAATCTGGAGAAACAAGAAATCCAAACAAGTGTTATTCAAACTTCCAAGGAAGGATAAGTATGTAAAATGCAATAGTATTTTTTATCTATGCTAGAACATATTTATGCAATAGCACGAGAAGTTTCATCAGAGGGAAATGCCAAATTCAAGAGAACACCACATGGCCTTTATGTTGCAAAACAATGTGCACACATCCAAAGACCCCAACGGTCACTGGAAAGGTGGCTGCTGGATGGCTTCATTGACTGTAGAATGTTCTATTTGTAATCAAGCTACGATAATGCACAGGACACACATATTCATTAGTAAGATGTTTTCTGCTTATGGGTGGGTTGTCAATTATCAGCTGTTACTAAATCATGCAGAGCAAAGGGTAAGGAGAGTTAGGATGTTTTGAGCAGGACAATCATTTCCCACCCAAGACAACAAGTGCATAACTTACCCGAGGCCCCTGATCACCTTGTTCTCCCTGGAGAAGAGCAAAATAAGATAAAAGTGTTATCTACAATCTATATGTAATGCTTAGTAAAACGGTCTAAACAAATACCACAGATCATGCCAATATTGATTTCAGGTAAATTAATTTCATGAATGCATTTTCTCACCTTATCACCTTTTGGACCAGGGGGACCCTGGAAAAAAAAAAGAGAAAATATTAGATTTAAAAGGATCTGAATAAACCTACCAGGGCAATTGAAAGATTTATGTGAAATGCAGAGAGCCATAGTTGTCAACAGGTTTCTCAAAGAACTTTAGTTTCTAAATTATAATTGTATTATAATTAGGAAAAGAAACTAGTAGGTGTAGTATGTACAGACATACATATATATCATAGGTATCAAATGTGCTAAAGAAATTGTGAAAACTCAGTATACCCAAGCTAAAGAAGCAGTACAGTACTAACAAGACAGGAGCTCCTGCTCTGATCTGTGTTAATAGCCTACACCAATAGTCCTTCTTTGAATTCTGATAGCAGAATTTACCGGCCTTCACTCTTTATCTAAAGGAAATCATATAGCACATGTCTGGCACGTTTTGTTCAACACTTGTGAAATTCATCCTTAATTTTGCACGTAGCCGTAGACTTGTTCTTACTGCTTTATAAAATTCTGTATGTGACTTATTTGCTCATCCTGCTGCTGGTGGTAATTTGACTCTAGGCGTTATAAATTACTGCTGTGAACACCTTAATGTAGCTGTTTGGGTGAAACACCAGAGTGCATTTCTGTTGGGTCTGTATCTAAGGAAGGTAAAAGAGTACATTCGTTTTCACTGTCGCAGATACTTCTAAGTGGTTTCCCAATGTGGCACCTATAATTCCTATGCTCAGCTTCAGTATGTTTCAGATCTCTAATGCTTGATATTTTTCTCATTTTTAATCTTGTTTTTGTAGGATATAGTAATTTAACTTTATTTTATAGTTTCCTAGTGATCAATTGAACACCCTTTTAATGTACCTATTCAATATTTTACATTCTTTTTATAAAGAATTATCAGCGTTTGCCTTTGTTTCACTAAATTATCCCATTGATCTGTTAGAATTTATTATATATTATATGCCACATATAAGCATATACAGAGATTTAGAAATCCTTATGTATTCTGAATGTGTTGTCTGCTATCTGTATTTATTAGGAATATATTTTCCCATGCTTTGTTCTGCTTTTACATTCTGTTGAGATGTTCTTTGCTGTTGTTACTGTTGTTTGGTTAGGTGGTGGTAGTGCTGGGTCTTGAACTCAGGGCCTTGAGAATCTATGTAAATGCTCTACTACTGAGCCACATCCCCAGTTCCTACTGGGGCATCTTCAATGAATAGATATTGCTAATTTTGATAAAAGTCAATACAACGTTTTTCTCTTTATTGTTATGCCTGTAGTCAGCTAAAGAAATCTATAGCTATTGTACATCATGAGGCGATCTGTCTGTTTATTTTATAACTGAAAAGGTTTATTATTGCATCTTCATATTTGAGTGTGACTTCATGGAGAACTGATTTTACAGGAGGTGAAGTCAGGATGCTTTTTGTCCCCAGGTGGTTATCACGTTAACTGAACACTGTTAACTGAAAATGGCATCTTTCCCCCATTGTGGTACTGTGTTACCTTTCTCATAAATCAGGTGACCACATGTATACATAACGTTTCCTTGTAGGAATTCCTTGTTGTTGAGAGCCTGTCTATTCTTCCAGTAAGAAATACTATTTCTAGAGGCATAAATTATGCTGTCTATTCTAATTCTTGATAATGAAGTCATATTTTGTGGTTCAGCACAGCCTAAGAAACTAGAATGTTTCAGAATTATCTCCATGATCTCCATTTATTGTGGGGCCAGGACACAACAAGAAGCCTGGGCAGGAAGTAAGGCTAAGGGTCTATTAGAAGGGGCTACATCACTGCCGGGAGGAACACGGGACTCCTGCTCCAACAAAAATGTCACTTTCTGCTCAGTGTCAGCCACAGAGGAGCAGCACTGATACCCTGTTCTCTCCACAGTTATCTTTGTGTCCCACTAAAGAAATCTCTACCATTTCTACATCACAAAGAGATGCATCTGTTTATTCTAGAGCAACAACTTTATCATTGTCTGTTTCATATTTGCATCCAAATTCACTGGCACTGATTTTATGTACCATGTGGCTGGCTATCTTTGTTGTGTAGGTAACATGCCTTTTTGGTAAGATCTGCGAGGTTATCCTGAAACCAACGACAACATCATCATGTCTCGTAGTTTGCATATTTTCTCATCAACAAGGAACTGTGAGTTGTTGTTACATTTAATCTTCCCCCAAATGCAATGAAGAATTATGATAATCCTCTAAGAGAGGCCAAAAAATGAAAGTCAGATCTTTCCTATGTGAGGCCTCTTAGAATGAGCTGTCCAGGATTTTAATTCATTCGGCATGACTTTAAATACCAAGACCATGGAGCAAAGACATGGAACTTGATTCTCAGAACCACCCACTTGTCTGGTGCCTGCCCTCAACATGCGACTTCGGAAATGGCCCCCGCTGCATATCCATCCCACTACCACAGACACCAGCGCTAAGGGTGTAGGTTCTAAATGAGGAGAAAGAAAAGAAAGGGCAGAGCAGGTAGCAGGAGACAGGGCTCAGATACTACAATTCCCTTCATAAAATCATTTCCTCTTTATCTTCCAGAGAGTTTTGTCAATGATTAGAGGGATGTTAGGAGAATTCTATTTTATACGTTTTAGTGAATGTTTAATATACCCATTTTTAAAACAGTGAGGAATAAGACACCAAAGCAAAAGATATTTGTGATACTAATGTACTGTGGGATGGTCTGTATGTCAAATGTGTTGCTGATTGGTCAATAAATAAATCACTGATTGGCCATTGGCTAGGCAGGAAGTATAGGTGGGACAAGGAGGAGAATAGAGCTGGGAAGTGGAAGGCTGAGGAGAGACACTGCCAGCCGCCATCAGGACAAGGAAGATGTAAAGTACCGGTAAGCCACAAGCCACGTGGCAAGGTATAGATTAATAAAAATGGATTAATTTAAGCTGTAAGAACAGTTAGCAAGAAGCCTGCCACGGCCATACAGTTTGTAACCAATATAAGTCTCTGTGTTTATTTGATCGGGTTTAAGCGGCTTGGGACTGGCGGGTGATAGAGATTTGTCCTGACTGTGGGCCAGGCAGGAAAACTATAGCTACACTAATGTTGTAAAGGTTGGCTGTTATTTTTGGTAGAGCACTGGAGAGCAAGGGGGAGAGGAACAAGAAGAACTTACTCTCAACGTTCAAGCAAGGCCGTGGAAAGTCCAGCCCTGATTGAAGGAGTATATTCACAAGCTGTTTTCAAAGTCTATTTAAAGTTTATCTGTTAAACTGTTCTAACCCATGCTTAAAGGATATGGCAGAAGAGGCCGATCTAGAAAAATGTGCTTGCTGTGTACCTCCAACAAAGCTAAGTAGTCCATTTCTTTCTTTTTTCTTTTGGAGCTGAGAACCGAACTCAGGGCCTTGTGCTTGCTAGGCAAGCGCTCTACTTCCAAGTTAAATCCCCAACCCCCTAAATAGTGTATTTCTAAAGTTAAACACTTCATTGAGGTTAAGTAACAGTGACTCCTAGAGTACCTCCAAGTCAGCTGTTACTGTGAACCCTCCCCAGACTCTACCCTTGCCTCTCATTTCCCCTCTTCATAATTGTGTCCGATTTTCTAGTGAGATCTCTGAGGCTGGACCCTCTAAAGGCACTTGGTTCAGTTCTGTGGCGTAACTGGTGTCAAAGCCTGCTTGAAATTCCCTTACAATGGGAGCAGAAAGGAATCTTCTAGAAATCCAATGGCCATTGTCAAACCCACACGTGTTGACTAGAGCCAGAGTGGCCTGGGTAGGATGCCTAATTCCCGAACACATGAAAATCTGCATCAAAAAGTGAGCAGCAAATACTGCTGCTCAAAAGTGGTGTTTCTGAGCAGACAGCATGGTGTCCTGCACCTGCCGAGCTAAAGACAGCAGCAAAGCCAAGGTCACCCTCTACACACAGCTGTGGTAGCTGCTTGGGACATGCCCCCCCACTCCTGTGCTCAGGGATGACAGAGGATGTTTTCTTCTACTGCAGCTGAAATCCTGTTCTTTCTAAGTTGGGTGTCTTCACTGAAAAGATGGGTTCGATCCGATGAACCAAGTGGGCTATGACACAGGGCACTGTTTCTTTTATTATTATTATTATTATGAGATTTTTCTATTCATTTTACATACCAACCACAGATTCCCTCGTGCCCCAGCCTTCCCCCAACCCAACCCCCCCATTCCCACCTCCTCCAAGGCAAGGTCTCCCATGGGGAGTCAGCAGAGCCTAGTACATCAGTTGAGGCAGGTCCAAACCCCTCCCCCCCGCTGCACCATGGCTGTGCAAAGACAGGGCAGTGTTTCTAACTTTAGGAGCCATGCTGCTTTTCCAAGTCAAAATATTACAGCACAAGAAATTTCCCTGATATCTAACCTTTCCAGTTTAGGTTGGGTCATGAGCTCATTTTTGTCTGATCTTTACAAATGGTTTTAAAAACCCCCATTAGCACTAACTAAGAGAGAAGCAGCAATACAAATTAATGACTCTAATCATTTCACTGATGAAGGTTTGTTCAAAAGAATTTTATTTTATGTGGAGTGTTTTCCTGCATGTATGTATATGCACCACATGTGTGCCTGGTGCCCACATTATGGACACTTGTGATCTGCTGTGGGTGCTGGGAACTGAACCTGGGTCCTTTGCAAGAGCAGCCAATGAACTTAACCACTGAGCCATCTCATTAGCTTTAATTTGAGAGTATCTGTAGACAGCATTTTGCTGTTGCAACTATACTACATTTAACAAAACAATATTTAGGGCAGTATCAATGATGGTAAGGTAACTAGTCAAAAGTCACATTTGCTGCTAAAACAAAGCTGAGGTCAACATAAAAGAAACGTGTAGGATTAGCTGTGGGTCACAGCTTTGTGTAAGGCCTTGGGGGGCATGTCTGTCACCTGTCTGGAATGCTGCATAAGGCCCATTCATAAATAGAACTATCATTTCTAATTTTTTTTGTACAATCAGTCTTAGTTACATAAACACTGGAATAAGCTAATAAAGTTTGTGTCTATCATTACACTCAAGAGGGTA